CAATTTTGCACACGCTAGGCCCTTGTTCTTTTTATTTTGCACACGCTTGGCCCTTGTTCTTTTGATTTTGCACACGTTATGCCCTTGTTCTTTTTATTTTGCACATGCTAGGCCCTTGTTCTTGCAATTTTGTACATGCTAGACCCTTGTTCTTTTTATTTTGCACACGCTAGGCCCTTGCTCTTGCTATTTTGCGAACGCTAGGCCCTTGTTCTTGATTTTTTGCACACGCTAGGCCCTTGCTCTTGCTATTTTGCACTCGCTAGGCCCTTGTTCTTGCAATTTTGCACACGCTAGGCCCTTGTTCTTGCAATTTTGCACACGCTAGACCCTTGTTCTTGCTATTTTGCACACGCTAGGCCCTTGTTCTTTTTATTTTGCACACGCTAGGCCCTTGTTCTTTTTATTTTGCACACGCTAAGCCCTTGTTCTTTTTATTTTGTACACGCTAGGCCCTTGTCCTTGCTATTTTGCACACGCTATGCCCTTGTTCTTTTTATTTTGCACACGCTAGGCCTTTGTTCTTTATATTTTGCACACGCTAGGCCCTTGTTCTTGCTATTTTGCACACGCTATGCCCTTGTTTTTTTTATTTTGCACACGCTAGGCCCTTGTTCTTGCAATTTTGCACATGCTAGACCCTTGTTCTTTTTATTTTGCACACGCTAGGCCCTTGTTCTTGCTATTTCGCGAACGCTAGGCCCTTGTTCTTAATTTTTTGCACACGCTAGGCCCTTGCTCTTGCTATTTTGCACTCGCTAGGCCCTTGTTCTGGCAACTTTGCACATGCTAGTGTCGAAATATATTGTCATGTTTTATAACTGCTTGTAGTTGTAGTTAGTGTAGTTATTTAAACTGTTGTTGGTGGTGCACCTTATTTGGTTTATATGCTATATGTACCCTTGAACCTATAGTGAAACCATCACTTTTCTCCAACTCCTCTCTCAACTCACTCGACACCTCGCCTAGGGTATAACCCGCTCGATACCTAAGTTCGGGCCTAAGCTACTAAGCCTAGGCCCCACCTCTCAACTTACCTATTATTCTCGACAGCAAGGCCCTTGCTCTTGCAATTTTGCACACGCTAGGCCCTTGTTCTTTTTTTTTTGCACACGCTTGGCCCTTGTTCTTTTGATTTTGCACACGCTATGCCCTTGTTCTTTTTATTTTGCACACGGTAGGCCCTTGTTCTTGCAATTTTGCACATGCTACACCCTTGTTCTTTTTATTTTGCACACGCTAGGCCCTTGCTCTTGCTATTTTGCGAACGCTAGGCCCTTGTTCTTGATTTTTTGCACACGCTAGGCCCTTGCTCTTGCTATTTTGCACTCGCTAGGCCCTTGTTCTTGCAATTTTGCACACGCTAGGCCCTTGTTCTTGCAATTTTGCACACGCTAGGCCCTTGTTCTTGCTATTTTGCACACGCTAGGCTCTTGTTCTTTTTATTTTGCACACGCTAGGCCCTTGTTCTTTTTATTATGCACACGCTAGGCCCTTCTTCTTGCTATTTTGCATATGCTATGCCATAGGTCTTTTTATTTTGCACACGCTTGGCCCTTGTTCTTGCAATTTTGCACATGCTAGACCCTTGTTCTTTTTATTTTGCATACACTAGGCCCTTGCTCTTGCATTTTCGCGAACGCTAGGCCCTTGTTCTTGATTTTTTGCACACGCTAGGCCCTTGCTCTTGCTATTTTGCACTCGCTAGGCCCTTGTTCTTGCAATTTTGCACACGCTAGGCCCTTGTTCTTTTAATTTTGCACACGCTAGGCCCATGTTCTTTTTATTTTGCACACACTAGGCCCTTGTTCTTTTTATTTTGCACACACTAGGCCCTTGTCCTTGCTATTTTGCACACGCTATGCCCTTGTTCTTTTTATTTTGCACACGCTAGGCCTTTGTTCTTTTTATTTTGCACACGCTAGGCCTTTGTTCTTGCTATTTTGCACACGCTATGCCCTTGTTTTTTTTATTTTGCACACGCTATGCCCTTGTTCTTGCAATTTTGCACATGCTAGACCCTTGTTCTTTTTTTTTTTTGCACACGCTAGGCCCTTGTTCTTGCTATTTCGCGAACGCTAGGCCCTTGTTCTTAATTTTTTGCACACGCTAGGCCCTTGCTCTTGCTATTTTGCACTCGCTAGGCCCTTGTTCTGGCAACTTTGCACACGCTAGTGTCGAAATATATTGTCATGTTTTATAACTGCTTGTAGTTGTAGTTAGTGTAGTTATTTAAACTGTTGTTGGTGGTGCACCTTATTTGGTTTCTATGCTATATGTACCCTTGAACCTATAGTGAAACCATCACTTTTCTCCAACTCCTCTCTCAACTCACTCGACACCTCGCCTAGGGTATAACCCGCTCGATACCTAAGTTCGGGCCTAAGCTACTAAGCCTAGGCCCCATCTCTCAACTTACCTATTATTCTCGACAGCTAGGCCCTTGCTCTTGCAATTTTGCACACGCTAGGCCCTTGTTCTTTTTATTTTGCACACGCTTGGCCCTTGTTCTTTTGATTTTGCACACGTTATGCCCTTGTTCTTTTTATTTTGCACACGCTAGGCCCTTGTTCTTGCAATTTTGTACATGCTAGACCCTTGTTCTTTTTATTTTGCACACGCTAGGCCCTTGCTCTTGCTATTTTGCGAACGCTAGGCCCTTGTTCTTGATTTTTTGCACACGCTAGGCCCTTGCTCTTGCTATTTTGCGCTCGCTAGGCCCTTGTTCTTGTAATTTTGCACACGCTAGGCCCTTGTTCTTGCAATTTTGCACACGCTAGACCCTTGTTCTTGCTATTTTGCACACGCTAGGCCCTTGTTCTTTTTATTTTGCACACGCTAGGCCCTTGTTCTTTTTATTTTGCACACGCTATGCCCTTGTTCTTTTTATTTTGCTCACGCTAGGCCCATATTCTTGCTACTTTGCACACGCTATGCCCTTGTTCTTTTTATTTTGCACACGCTAGGCCCTTATTCTTGCAATTTTGCACATGCTAGACCCTTGTTCTTTTTATTTTGCACACGCTAGGCCCTTATTCTTGCAATTTTGCACATGCTAGACCCTTGTTCTTTTTATTTTGCACCAGCAGCAGACCCACCGCCAGGACAGACAGCAGTATTCTCAGCACCAACACCCTCAGCAGCTCCAGCTCCAGTAGGACCCGCAGGCCCAGCAGCTCCGGGACCGGCAGCACTAGCACCCTCGACGGTCGAAGAAGCACCAGCTCCAGCAGCACGCCTCCAGCGGCGAGCAAACCTTTCGCGCAGCTCCTGTGGAGAGAGGGGCTCCCGTCGAGACGCAGCAGCAGGAGAATCCCCAGGCTCAGCAGCTCCAGACTCAGCACCCCCAGGCTCAGCAGCTCCCAACTCAGCACCCCCAGGCTAAGCAGCTCCCAACTCAGCACCCCCAGACCCAGCACCCCTTAGCTCAGCAGCTCCAGGCACAGCACCCCCCGGCTCAGCACCCCCAGGCTCAGCACCCTCCGCATTAGCACCCCCAGGCCCAGCACCCCCAGGCTCAGCACCTCCAGGCCCGGCACCCCCGCGCACAGCACCCCCAGAGTCAGCACCCCCAGGCTCAGCACCCGCAGCAGCACCAAAGTCACCAGTAACCTCGACCGGGTCAACTGCGTCTACCTGGGACACACCTGAGAGGGGAGGGGGTCTACCGGGGGGGAACCGGTACAAGGAAGTCCGGCGGAGGGGGGAGGGAAGGAGTGCGGTAGGGGAAGAGGCGGTAGAAGGGGACTGACTCGTCGAACGTGACGTCCTGGGAGGACAGAACACGACGAGAGGAGGGGTGGTAAAACTGCCACCCTGGAGCGTCAGTGGGGAAGCCAAGGAAGACACAGGGAGCAGCACGAGGGGACAGCTTGTCCGCAGACAAGTCGCGGACAAACGCCCGAGATCCCCAGACACGGAACGCCGACGCATCGCCAACCTTCCCCGTCCACAGCAAGACTGGGGACATCGCGGGCCGAGAGACCCTGGGGTGAAGGTTGAGCTGATGCGCCGCGTACCTCACCGCAAACAGCCACAGAAAATGGGGGGCAGCCGCATGCATCATGGACGTACGAGCGACATCCATGACCATGCCAATGCGGCGCTCAGCAATCCCATTTTGCTGTGGATAGTCCGGAAGCGTGAAGGTCTGGCGGATCCCCCGTGCACGACAGTAGTCTCGCAGAAGGTGAGAGGAGAACTCTCCGCCTCTGTCCGAGTGCAGACGCAGAACAGGAAAGTCTGAGCCGAAGCTCTTCCTGAGCTGGAGACGAGCCTCGCGGATCCAGTCGATCAGCACCTCAGTGACAGCACCCTTGCTGCGCAAGGGGAGGACTGTGGTGTAACGCGAGTAGTCGTCAACCACCAACAGGTAGTAGCGCTCGTGACCCTGCCCACGGACGGGGGCTGGGCCCCACACGTCCATGTGAAGGGTCTGCAGTGGAGCCTCTGTCGGGGGGAACTGGGAGGAGTGAGGAGCAGCCCGGAGGCGCCCCTCGACATAGGGGACACAGGAAGGTCCTGGCCCGGAGGGAAGGGGAGGGAGAGACCGGGGAAGAGACCGGAGGGAAGGGGAGGGAGAGACCCGACGCAGGGACAGGAGGAGATGTAGTGGTCAGGGTGTAGAGGCTCGACCCTGGCCAACGTGAGAACGTGGCCAGGTGTCGGCCTGTGCGTGCGTCCGTGCAGTGGGTCACGCGCTGACTCGCAGGAGTGAACTGGTGAACCCCCGCATCCTGTAGGTCCGCACCACTCACCAAGTTCGTCGAGAACGAGGGAAGGTACAGACCAGACAGTGTGCCCGAGGGGGCAGCCGGACACGGGAGGACAGTAGAGAAGTGAGAGAGGACAGGACCCCCAGAGGGGTCAGCCAGGGAGACCGCAATCGGCCGGCCAAGCGGCGTGAGGGTGGTGCGGTCTCGAAAGAAGGAGCGAGAAGCTCCAGAGTCAAGTGTGAAAGTGAGGGAGGACGAAGGCGACGCAGTACTTGAGAGCGCAGTCTAACCAGCACCTGAGAGCGCAGACGCACTGGCACCTAGAGCAGCAGCCTCACAAGCACCTAGCGCAGCAGTACCAATGCCCGGGTCGGGCGAGAAACACCGGTAACAGTCACCCTCCTCACTAATAGTCACAGCATACATAGCAGCAAGGATAGCATCAAAATCAAGATCAAAGATCGCTACACCAGCCCGAAGAAGCTCATCCCAGCGAGGGATCTCACTAGCCCCGGGGAACTGCTGACGCCAAGCGTCCGTCAGGCGGCCAAAGCAGCGATGGGTGGGGTGGGCACCCCCACACTGCTCACCCGCGCGGTCGCCGGAACGAAGGACGTAGGTGCAAGGACCAGTACCCCCACCCCTCTGACGCCGAGTGTACCACTCACGGAGCTGCTGGGGCAGAGGGACGTCACGCGAACGCTGCTGCTGCTGATGCTGCGAGCGCTGACCACCACCACCGCCGCTCCGCTGCTGGGTACCGCCTCGACCAGCTCCACCTCCTCCGCCACCACCGCCTCCTCCGCCGCCGCCTCCCCCACCGTCACCGCCACCACTGCCGCTACCACCACCGCCGCCGCCACCACCGCCGCCTCCTCCGCCGCTGCCACCACTACCACCACCACCCCCTCCACAACTCCCGCCGCCACCCCCACTCCCTCCGCTGCCTCCACTGCCACCTCCACCGCCTCCTCCAGCTCCACCAGCGCCCTTGCTCCCCTTGCCCTTGCCAGAGCGGCGTCTCCCACTAGGGGCAAACGCCGCGCCAACCGACTCGAGACCAAGCAGGTCGGCAGCAGCAGCAGAGGCAACAGAGGGCAGCAAGGGGGGAAGGAGAGCACCCCTCAAAGATGGGGGTGCGAGGGTCACCACGAGAAGCTCCTACAGCGACGATGCTCTTCTCCGCCGCAAGGAGGGCCTTCTCGAGGACGTCGACGGTGAGGGTGGTGGGACAGACTGCGAGAAAGTGGTCCCTGACTACGCGAAGGGAGTCAGGGAGGCGCGCGACTACGTAGTAGAGAGTGATGTACATGGGGGGGGGGTTCTTAGCGCAGAACTCAGCAGGAAGGGCGGCGCGGTAGCGAGTGTCACTAGTGCGGAGGTGCATAATGAGATCAGCGACAGTGGGAAAGGCAGAGAGGTCAGGAAAGAGGTAGGGAAGCATGAGACGGCTCAGTGCAGCAGTGGCAGGGGAGGAGTAGCGCGCAACTACAGCGTCGTACAAGGTCTGAGCACTCTTGTACTGACTAAAGTGCGCGCGCTCAGAGGTAGGGAGGTGGCGACGCACAGCAAGACGTGCAGCAGCATCGCGGGTGGCCCACTGAGAGCGCACAGTGGGATCAGCATCAGCAGCAGGGGCAGGAGAGGCGCCAGAAGTGAGGTCAAAGAGAGAGAGGCCGTCTGCCCTATCGCACTGTAAAAACAACTGCAGGTCGTCGACCCAGACCTCAAAGTCAATGGCGCGACCCTCAGCGTCAAAAGCTAGGACACTAGGGGTAGCCATGACGACGACAGCGAAGCAGTGCAAGCAGTAGGGGAAGAGCACGCAGTGACAGTGGGACTGTGCTCACCAGGCAGGGCAGGCCGGGCAGCTCTGCAGAAGGGCGGCTCGGCGACTCAGCGACTCGGCTGCTAGGCGGCTCGGCGGCAGGGCGGCTCGGGTGTCGGGCGGCTCGGCTCCCGGGCGGCTCGGCGGCAGGGCGGCTCGGGTGTCGGGCGGCTCGGGTGCAGGGCGGCTCGGCTCCCGGGCGGCTCGGCGGCAGGGCGGCTCGGGTGCCGGGCGGCTCGGCCGCACTGCTGCTCGGCTGCTGCAGGTGGGCAGCTCGGCTGCTGCAGGTAGGGTGGCGGGGCCGCGAGACCAGGGGCGGCGGGGCCGGCGGTGCAGGGACGGGGACGGCGGGGCCGGCAGGTGATGGAAAGGGGGATTTAGGGTTTAGAATCTGGGAGAAGGGGATGGAATCTGGGAGAAGGGGATGGAATCGGGGAGAAGGGGATGGAATGAGGGAGAAGGGGATGGAATCTGGGAGAAGGGGATGGAATCTGGGAGAAGGGGATGGAATCTGGGAGAAGGGGATGGAATCTGGGAGAAGGGGATGGAATCTGGGAGAAGGGGGTGGAATCTGGGAGAAGGGGATGAACCCTGGGAGAAGGGGATGGAATCTGGGAGAAGGGGATGGAATCTAGGAGAAGGGGATGGAATCTGGGAGAAGGGGATGGAATCTGGGAGAAGGGGATGGAATCAGGGAGAAGGGGATGGAATCTAGGAGAAGGGGATGGAATCTGCGAGAAGGGGATGGAATCTGGGAGAAGGGGATGGAATCTGGGAGAAGGAGATGGAATCTGGGAGAAGAGGGTGGAATCAGACCCCCTCATTCTCCCTCCTTCCATCACCCCGCCCCATTCTCCCGCTTTCCATCACCTCGCCCCATTCTCCCGCTTTCCATCACCCAGCCCCATTCTCCCACGTTCCATCACCCCGCCCCATTTTCCCGCTTTCTATCACCCAGCCCCATTCTCACGCTTTCCATCACCCTGCCCCAATCTCCCGCTTTCCATCACCCCGCCCCATTCTCCCTCCTTCCATCACCCCGCCCCATTTTCCCGCTTTCCATCACCCCGCCCCATTCTCCCGCTTTCCATAACCCCGCCCCATTCTCCCTCCTTCCATCACCCGCCCCGTTCTCCCTCCTTCCATCACCCCGCCCCTTTCTCCCTCCTTCCATCACCCCGCCCTATTCTCCCGCTCTCCATCACCCCGCCCCATTCTCCCGCTTTCCATCACCCCGCCCCATTCTCCCGCTTTCCATCACCCCGCCCCATTCTCCCGCTTTCCATCACCCAGCCCCATTCTCCCGCTTTCCATCACCCCGCCCCATTCTCCCGCTTTCCATCACCCCGCCCCATTCTCCCTCTTTCCATCACCCCGCCCCATTCTCCCGCATTCCTTCACCCCGCCCCATTTTCCCTCGTTCCATCACCCCGCTCCATTCTCCCGCTTTCCATCACCCACCCCCATTCTTCCTCTTTCCATCACCCTGCCCCATTCTCCCGCTTTCCATCACCACGCCCCATTCTCCCGCTTTCCACCACCCCGCCCCGTTCTCCCACTTTCCATCACCCCGCCCCATTCTCCCGCTTTCCATCACCACGCCCCATTCTCCCTCTTTCCATCACCCCGCCCCGTTCTCCTGCTTTCCATCACCCCGCCCCATTCTCCCGCTTTCCATCACCCCGCCCCATTCTCCCGCTTTCCATCACCCCGCCCCATTCTCCCGCTTTCCATCACCCCGCCCCATTCTCCCTCTTTCCATCACCCCGCTCCGTTCTCCCGCTTTCCATCACCCTGCCCCATTCTCCCGCTTTCCATCACTCCGCCCCATTCTCCCGCTTTCCATCACCCCGCCCCATTCTCCCTCTTTCCATCACCCAGCCCCATTCTCCCGATATCTGTCACCCCGCCCCATTCTCCCTCTTTCCATCACCCCGCCCCATTCTCCCGATTTCCGTCACCCCGCCCCATTCTCCCTCTTTCCATCACCCCGCCCCATTCTCCCTCTTTCCATCACCCCGCCCCATTCTCCCTCTTTCCATCACCCCGCCCCATTCTCCTGATTTCCGTCACCTCGCCCCATTCTCCCTCTTTCCATCACCCCGCCCCATTCTCCCGATTTCCGTCATCCTGCCCCATTCTCCCTCTTTCCATCACCCCGCCCCGTTCTCCCTCTTTCCATCACCCGGACCCATTCTCCCGCTTTCCATCACCCCGCCCCATTCTCCCTCTTTCCATCACCCCGCCCCATTCTCCCGCTTTCCATCACCCCGCCCCATTCTCCCTCTTTCCATCACCCCACCCCGTTCTCCCGCTTTCCATCACCCCGCCCCATTCTCCCGCTTTCCATCACCCCGCCCCATTCTCCCGCTTTCCATCACCCCGCCCCATTCTCCCGCTTTCCATCACCCGCCCCATTCTCCCGAATTCCATCACCCCGCCCCATTCTCCCGCTTTCCATCACCCAGCCCCATTCTTCCGCTTTCCATCACCCCGACCCATTCTCCCACTTTCCATCACCCCGCCCCATTCTTCCGCTTTCCATCACCCCGCCCCATTCTCCCGATTTCCATCACCCCGCCCCATTCTCCCGCTTTCCATCACCCCGCCCCATTCTCCCGCTTTCCATCACCCCGCCCCATTCTCCCGCATTCCATCACCCCGCCCCATTCTTCCGCTTCCCATCATCCCGCCCCATTCCCCCGCTTTCCATCACCCCTCCCCATTCTACCTCCTTCCATCACCCCGCCCCATTCTCCCTCTTTCCATCACCCCGCCCCATTCTCCCTCTTTCCATCACCCCGCCGCATTCTCCTGATTTCCGTCACCTCGCCCCATTCTACCTCTTTCCATCACCCCGCCCCATTCTCCCGATTTGCGTCATGCTGCCCCATTCTCCCTCTTTCCATCACCCCGCCCCGTTCTCCCTCTTTCCATCACCCCGACCCATTCTCCCGCTTTCCATCACCCCGCCCCATTCTCCCTCTTTCCATCACCCCGCCCCATTCTCCCGCTTTCCATCACCCCGCCCCATTCTCCCTCTTTCCATCACCCCGCCCCGTTCTCCCGCTTTCCATCACCCCGCCCCATTCTCCCGCTTTCCATCACCCCGCCCCATTCTCCCGCTTTCCATCACCCCGCCCCATTCTCCCGCTTTCCATCACCCCGCCCCATTCTCCCGATTTCCATCACCCCGCCCCATTCTCCCGCTTTCCATCACCCAGCCCCATTATTCCGCTTTTCATCACCCCGACCCATTCTCCCACTTTCCATCACCCCGCCCCATTCTTCCGCTTTCCATCACCCCGCCCCATTCTCCCGATTTCCATCACCCCGCCCCATTCTCCCGCTTTCCATCACCCCGCCCCATTCTCCCGCTTTCCATCACCCCGCCCCATTCTCCCGCTTTCCATCATCCCGCCCCATTCTCCCTCCTTCCATCACCCCGCCCCATTCTTCCGCTTCCCTTCATCCCGCCCCATTCCCCCGCTTTCCATCACCCCTCCCCATTCTCCCTCCTTCCATCACCCCGCCCCATTCTCTCGCTTTCCATCACCCCGCCCCATTCTCCTGCTTTCCATCACCCCGCCCCATTTTCCCGCTTTCCATCACTCTGCCCCATTATCCCTCCTTCCATCACCCCGCCCCATTCTCCCTCCTTCCATCACCCCGCCCCATTCTCCTGCTTTCCATCACCCCGCCTCATTCTCCCGCTTCCCATAACCCCACCCCATTCTCCCGCTTTCCATCACCCCGCCACATTCTCCCACTTTCCATCACCCCGCCCCCTTCTCTCTCCTTCGATCACCCCGCCCCATTCTCCCTCCTTCCATCACCCCGCCCCATTCTCCCGCTTTCCATCAGCCCACCCCATTCTCCCGCTTTCCATCACCCCTCCCCTTTCTCCCGCTTTCCATCTCCCTGCCCCATTCTCCCGCTTTCCATCACCCCGCCCCATTCTCCCGCTTTCCATCACCCCGCCCCATTCTTCCGCTTCCCATCATCTCGCCCCATTCCCCCGCTTTCCATCACCCCTCCCCATTCTCCCTCCTTCAATCACCCCGCCCCATTCTCTCGCTTTCCATCACCCCGCCCCATTCTCCCGCTTTCCATCACGCCGCCCCATTCTCCCGCTTTCCATCACCCCGCCACATATTCCTACTTTCCATCACCCCGCCCCCTTCTCTCTCCTTCCATCACCCTGCCCCATTCTCCCTCCTTCCATCACCCCGCCCCATTCTCCCGCTTTCCATCAGCCCGCCCCATTCTCCCGCTTTCCATCATCCTGCCCCTTTCTCCCGCTTTCCATCTCCCCGCCCCATTCTCCCGCTTTCCATCACCCCGCCCCATTCTCCCGCTTTCCATCACCCCGCCCCATTCTTCCGCTTTCCATCATCCCGCCCCATTCCACCGCTTTCCATCACCCCTCCCCATTCTCCCTCCTTCCATCACCCCGCCCCATTCTTCCGCTTTCCATCACCCTGCCCCATTCTCCCGCTTTCCATCACCCCGCCCCATTCTCCCGCTTTCCATCACCCCGCCCCATTCTCCCTCCTTCCATCACCCCGCCCCATTCTCCCGCTTTCCATCACCCCGCCCCATTCTCCCTCCTTCCATCACCCCGCCCCATTCTCCCTCATTCCATCACCCCGCCCCATTCTCCCGCTTTCCATCACCTTGCCCCATTCTCCCGCTTCCCATAACCCCACCCCATTCTCCCGCTTTCCATCACCCCGCCACATTTTCCCACTTTCCATCACCCCGCCCCCTTCTCTCTCCTTCCATCACCCCGCCCCATTCTCCCTCCTTCCATCACCCTGCCCCATTCTCCCTCCTTCCATCACCCCGCCCCATTCTCCCGCTTTCCATCACCCCACCACATTCTCCCGCTTTCTATCACCCCGCCCCATTCTCCCTCCTTCTATCACCCCGCCCCATTCTCCCGCTTTCCACCACCCCGCCCCATTCTCCCGATTTCCATCACCCCGCCCCATTCTCCCGCTTTCCATCATCCCGCCCCATTCTCCCTCCTTCCATCACCCCGCCCCATTCTCCCGCTTTCCATCACTCCGCCCCATTCTCCCTCCTTCCATCACCCCGCCCCATTCTCCCTCCTTCCATCACCCCGCCCCATTCTCCCGCTTTCCATCACCCCACCCCAATCTCCTGCTTCCCATAACCCCACCCCATTCTCCCGCTTTCCATCTCCCCGCCCCATTCTCCCGCTTTCCATCACCCCGCCCCATTCTCCCGCTTTCCATCACCCCTCCCCATTCTCCCTCCTTCCATCACCCTGCCCCATTCTCTCGCTTTCCATCACCCCGCCCCATTCTCCTGCTTTCCATCACGCCGCCCCATTCTCCCGCTTTCCATCACCCCGCCCCATTCTCCCTCCTTCCATCACCCCGCCCCATTCTCCCGCTTTCCATCACCCCGCCCCATTCTCCTTTCTTCCATCACCCCGCCCCATTCTCCCTCATTCCATTACCCCGCCCCATTCTCCCACTTTCCATCACCCCGCCCCATTCTTCCGCTTCCCATAACCCCACCCCATTCTCCCGCTTTCCATCTCCCCGCCACATTTTCCCACCTTCCACACCCCGCCCCCTTCTCTCTCCTTCCATCACCCCGCCCCATTCTCCTTCCTTCCATCACCCCGCCCCATTCTCCCGCTTTCCATCAGCCCGCCCCATTCACCCGCTTTCCATCACCCCGCTTCTTTCTCCCGCTTTCCATCTCCCCGCCCCATTCTCCCGCTTTCCATCACCCTGCCCCATTCTCCCGCTTTCCATCACCCCGCCCCATTTTCCCACTTTCCACCACCGCGCCCCATTCTCCCGATTTCCATCTCCCCGCCCCATTCTCCCTCTTTCCATCACCCCGCCCCGTTCTCCCGCTTTCCATCACCCCGCCCCATTCTCCCGCTTTCCATCACCCCACCCCATTCTCCTGCTTTCCATCACCCCGCCCCATTTTCCCACTTTCCACCACCCCGCCCCATTCTCCCGATTTCCATCACCCCGCCCCATTCTCCCGCTTTCCATCACCCAGCCCCATTCTTCCGCTTTCCATCACCCCGTCCCATTCTCCCACTTTCCATCACCCCGCCCCATTCTTCGGCTTTCCATCACCCCGACCCATTCTCCCACTTTCCATCACCCCGCCCCATTCTCCCTCCTTCCATCACCCCGCCTAATTCTCTCTCCTTCCATCACCCCGCCCCATTCTCCCGCTTTCCATCACCCCGCCCCATTCTCCCGCTTTCCATCACCCAGCCCCATTCTCCCGCTTTCCATCACCCCGCCCCATTTTCCCGCTTTCCATCACCCCGCCCCATTCTCCCGCTTTCCATCACCCTGCCCCAATCTCCCACTTTCCATCACCCCGCCCCATTCTCCCTCCTTCCATCACCCCGCCCCATTCCCCCGCTTTCCATCACCCCGCCCCATTCTCCTGCTTTCCATCACCCAGCCCCATTCTCCCGCTTTCCATCACCCCGCCCCATTCTCCCGCTTTCCATCACCCCACCCCATTCTCCCTTCTTCCATCACCCCGCCCCATTCTCCCTCCTTCCATCACCCCGCCCCATTCTCCCGCTTTCCATCACCCCGCCCCATTCTCACTCCTTCCATCACCCCGCCCCATTCTCCCTCCTTCCATCACCCCGCCCCATTCTCTCGCTTTCCATCACCCCGCCCCATTCTCCCGCTTCCCATAACCCCATCCCATTCTCCCGCTTTCCATCACCCCGCCACATTCTCCCGCTTTCTATCACCCCGCCCCATTCTCCCTCCTTCCATCATCCCGCCCCATTCTCCCGCTTTCCATCACCCCGCCCCATTCTCCCGATTTCCATCACCCCGCCCCATTCTCCCGCTTTCCATCACCCCGCCCCATTCTCCCGCTTTCCATCATCCCGCCCCATTCTCCCTCCTTCCATCACCCCGCCCCATTCTTCTGCTTCCCATCATCCCGCCCCATTCCCCCGCTTTCCATCACCCCGCCCCATTCTCTCGCTTTCCATCACCCCGCCCCATTCTCCCGCTTTCCATCACCCCGCCCCATTCTCCCGCTTTCCATCACTCCGCCCCATTATCCCTCCTTCCATCACCCCGCCCCATTCTCCCTCCTATCACCCCGCCCCATTCTCCCGCTTTCCATCACCCCGCCTCATTCTCCTGCTTCCCATAACCTCACCCCATTCTCCAGCTTTCCATCACCCCGCCACATTCTCCCACTTTCCATCACCCCGCCCCCTTCTCTCTCCTTCCATCACCCCGCTCCATTCTCCCTCCTTCCATCACCCCGCCCCATTCTCCCGCCTTCCAACAGCCCGCCCCATTCTCCCGCTTTCCATCACCCCGCCCCGCTTTCCATCACCCCTCCCCTATCTCCCGCTTTCCATCACCCCGCCCCATTCTCCCGCTTTCCATCACCCCGCCCCATTCTTCCGCGTCCCATCATCTCGCCCCATTCCCCCGCTTTCCATCACCCCTCCCCATTCTCCCTCCTTCCACCACCCCACCCCATTCTCTCGCTTTCCATCACCCTGCCCCATTCTCCCGCTTTCCATCACCCCGCCCCATTCTCCCGCTTTCCATCACCCCGCCCCATTCTCCCTCCTTCCATCACCCCGCCCCATTCTCCCGCTTTCCATCACCCCGCCCCATTCTCCCTCCTTCCATCACCCCGCCCCATTCTCCCTCATTCCATCACCCCGCCCCATTCTCCCGCTTTCCATCACCTTGCCCCATTCTCCCGCTTCCCATAACCCCACCCCATTGTCCCGCTTTCCATCACCCCGCCACATTTTCCCACTTTCCATCACCCCGCCCCCTTCTCTCTCCTTCCATCACCCCGCCCCATTCTCCCTCCTTCCATCACCCTGCCCCATTCTCCCTCCTTCCATCACCCCGCCCCATTCTCCCGCTTTCCATCACCCCACCACATTCTCCCGCTTTCTATCACCCCGCCCCATTCTCCCTCCTTCTATCACCCCGCCCCATTCTCCCGCTTTCCACCACCCCGCCCCATTCTCCCGATTTCCATCACCCCGCCCCATTCTCCCGCTTTCCATCATCCCGCCCCATTCTCCCTCCTTCCATCACCCCGCCCCATTCTCCCGCCTTCCATCACTCCGCCCCATTCTCCCTCCTTCCATCACCCCGCCCCATTCTCCCTCCTTCCATCACCCCGCCCCATTCTCCCGCTTTCCATCACCCCACCCCAATCTCCTGCTTCCCATAACCCCACCCCATTCTCCCGCTTTCCATCTCCCCGCCCCATTCTCCCGCTTTCCATCACCCCGCCCCATTCTCCCACTTTCCATCACCCCTCCCCATTCTCCCTCCTTCCATCACCCTGCCCCATTCTCTCGCTTTCCATCACCCCGCCCCATTCTCCTGCTTTCCATCACGCCGCCCCATTCTCCCGCTTTCCATCACCCCGCCCCATTCTCCCTCCTTCCATCACCCCGCCCCATTCTCCCGCTTTCCATCACCCCGCCCCATTCTCCTTTCTTCCATCACCCCGCCCCATTCTCCCTCATTCCATTACCCCGCCCCATTCTCCCACTTTCCATCACCCCGCCCCATTCTCCCGCTTCCCATAACCCCACCCCATTCTCCCGCTTTCCATCTCCCCGCCACATTTTCCCACCTTCCATCACCCCGCCCCCTTCTCTCTCCTTCCATCACCCCGCCCCATTCTCCTTCCTTCCATCACCCCGCCCCATTCTCCCGCTTTCCATCAGCCCGCCCCATTCTCCCGCTTTCCATCACCCCGCTTCTTTCTCCCGCTTTCCATCTCCCCGCCCCATTCTCCCGCTTTCCATCACCCTGCCCCATTCTCCCGCTTTCCATCACCCCGCCCCATTTTCCCACTTTCCACCACCGCGCCCCATTCTCCCGATTTCCATCTCCCCGCCCCATTCTCCCTCTTTCCATCACCCCGCCCCGTTCTCCCGCTTTCCATCACCCCGCCCCATTCTCCCGCTTTCCATCACCCCACCCCATTCTCCCGCTTTCCATCACCCCGCCCCATTTTCCCACTTTCCACCACCCCGCCCCATTCTCCCGATTTCCATCACCCCGCCCCATTCTCCCGCTTTCCATCACCCAGCCCCATTCTTCCGCTTTCCATCACCCCGTCCCATTCTCCCACTTTCCATCACCCCGCCCCATTCTTCGGCTTTCCATCACCCCGACCCATTCTCCCACTTTCCATCACCCCGCCCCATTCTCCGTCCTTCCATCACCCCGCCTCATTCTCCCTCCTTCCATCACCCCGCCCCATTCTCCCGCTTTCCATCACCCCGCCCCATTCTCCCGCTTTCCATCACCCAGCCCCATTCTCCCGCTTTCCATCACCCCGCCCCATTTTCCCGCTTTCCATCACCCCGCCCCATTCTCCCGCTTTCCATCACCCTGCCCCAATCTCCCGCTTTCCATCACCCCGCCCCATTCTCCCTCCTTCCATCACCCCGCCCCATTCCCCCGCTTTCCATCACCCCGCCCCATTCTCCTGCTTTCTATCACCCAGCCCCATTCTCCCGCTTTCCATCACCCCGCCCCATTCTCCCGCTTTCCATCACCCCACCCCATTCTCCCTCCTTCCATCACCCCGCCCCATTCTCCCTCCTTCCATCACCCCGCCCCATTCTCCCGCTTTCCATCACCCCGCCCCATTCTCACTCCTTCCATCACCCCGCCCTATTCTCCCTCCTTCCATCACCCCGCCCCATTCTCCCGCTTTCCATCACCCCGCCCCATTCTCCCGCTTCCCATAACCCCATCCCATTCTCCCGCTTTCCATCACCCCGCCACATTCTCCCGCTTTCTATCACCCCGCCCCATTCTCCCTCCTTCCATCATCCCGCCCCATTCTCCCGCTTTCCATCACCCCGCCCCATTCTCCCGATTTCCATCACCCCGCCCCATTCTCCCGCTTTCCATCACCCCGCCCCATTCTCCCGCTTTCCATCATCCCGCCCCATTCTCCCTCCTTCCATCACCCCGCCCCATTCTTCTGCTTCCCATCATCCCGCCCCATTCCCCCGCTTTCCATCACCCCGCCCCATTCTCTCGCTTTCCATCACCCCGCCCCATTCTCCCGCTTTCCATCACCTTGCCCCATTCTCCCGCTTTCCATCACTCCGCCCCATTATCCCTCCTTCCATCACCCCGCCCCATTCTCCCTCCTATCACCCCGCCCCATTCTCCCGCTTCCATCACCCCGCCTCATTCTCCTGCTTCCCATAACCTCACCCCATTCTCCAGCTTTCCATCACCCCGCCACATTCTCCCACTTTCCATCACCCCGCCCCCTTCTCTGTCCTTCCATCACCCCGCTCCATTCTCCCTCCTTCCATCAACCCGCCCCATTCTCCCGCCTTCCATCAGCCCGCCCCATTCTCCCGCTTTCCATCACCCCGCCCCGCTTTCCATCACCCCCTCCCTATCTCCCGCTTTCCATCTCCCCGCCCCATTCTCCCGCTTTCCATCACCCCGCCCCATTCTCCCGCTTTCCATCACCCCGCCCCATTCTTCCGCTTCCCATCATCTCGCCCCATTCCCCCGCTTTCCATCACCCCTCCCCATTCTCCCTCCTTCCATCACCCCACCCCATTCTCTCGCTTTCCATCACCCCACCCTATTCTCCCGCTTTCCATCACCCCGCCCCATTCTCCCGCTTTCCATCACCCCGCCCCATTCTTCCGCTTCCCATCATCTTGCCCCATTCCCCCGCTTTCCATAACCCCTCCCCATTCTCCCTCCTTCCATCACCCCACCCCATTCTCTCGCTTTCCATCACCCCGCCCCATTCTCCCGCTTTCCATCACCCCGCCCCATTCTCCCTCCTTCCATCAAACCGCCCCATTCTCCCGCTTTCCATCACCCCGCCCCATTCTCCCTCCTTCCATCACCCCGCCCCATTCTCCCTCATTCCATCACTCCGCCCCATTCTCCCGCTTCTCATCACCTTGCCCCATTCTCCCGCTTCCCATAACCCCACCCCATTCTCCCGCTTTCCATCACCCCGTCACATTTTCCCACTTTCCATCACCCCGCCCCCTTCTCTCTCCTTCCATCACCCCGCCCCATTCTCCCTCCTTCCATCACCCCGCCCCATTCTCCTGCTTTCCATCAGCCCGCCCCATTCTCCCGCTTTCCATCACCCCGCCCATTTCTCCCGCTTTCCATCTCCCTACCCCATTCTCCCGCTTTCCATCATCCCGCCCCATTCTCTCGCTTTCCATCACCCCGCCCTATTCTTCCGCTTCCCATCATCCCGCCCCTTTTCCCCGCTTTCCATCACCCCGCCCAATTCTCCCTCTTTCCATCACCCCGCCCCATTCTCCCGCTTTCCATCACTCCGCCTCAATCTTCTGCTTTCCATCACCCCGCCCCATTCTCCCGCTTTCCATCACCCTGCCCCATTCACCCGCTTTCCATCACCTCGCCCCATTCTCCCGCTTTCCATCACCCGGCCTCAATCTTCTGCTTTCCATCACCCCGCCCCATTCTCCCGCTTTCCATCACCCTGCCCCATTCACCCGCTTTCCATCACCCGCCCCATTCTCCCGCTTTCCATCACCCCGCCCCATTCTCCCGCTTTCTAGCACCCTGCTCCATTCTCCCGCTTTCCATCCCCCCGCCCCATTCTCCTGCTTTCCATCACTCCGCCCCATTCTCCCGCTTTCCATCACCCCGACCCATTCTCCCACTTTCCATCACCCCGCCCCATTCTCCCTCCTTCCATCACCCCGCCTTATTCTCCCTCCTTCCATCACCCCGCCCCATTCTCCCGCTTTCCATCACCCCGCCCCATTCTCCCGCTTTTCATCACCCCGCCCCATTCTCCCGCTTTCCAACACCCCGCCCCATTCTCTCGCCTTCCATCACCCCGCCCCATTCTCCCGCTTTCCATCACCCCGCCCCATTCTCCCGCTTTCCATCACCCCGCCCCCTTCTCCTTCCTTCCATCACCCTGCCCCATTCTCCCGCTTTCCATCACCCCGCCCCATTCTCCCGCTTTCCATCACCCCGCCCCATTCTCCCGCTTTCCATCACCCCGCCTCATTCTCCCGCTTTCCATCACCCCGCCCCATTCTCCCTCCTTCCATCACCCCGCCCCATTCTCCTGCTTTCCATCACCCCGCCCCATTCTCCCTCCTTCCATCACCCCGCCCCATTCTCCCTCCTTCCATCACCCCGCCCCATTCTCCAGCTTTCCATCACCCCGCCCCATTCTCCCGCTTCCAATAACCCCGCCCCATTCTCCCGCTTTCCATCACCCCTCCCCATTCTCGTTGCTTCCATCACCCCGCCCCAATCTCCCTCCTTCCATCACCCCGCCCCATTCTCCCGCTTTCTATGACCCCGCCCCATTGTACCATTTCCATCACCCCGCCCCATTCTCTCGCTTCCTATCACCCAGCCCCATTCTCCCGCTTTCCATCACCCCGTCCCATTCTTCCTCCTTCCATCACCACGCCCCATTTTCCCTTTTACCATCACCCCGCCCGATTCTCTTGCCTTCCATCACCCCGCCCCATTTGCCCGCTTTCCATCACCCCTCCCCATTCTTCCGCTTTCCATCATCTTGCCCCATTCTCCCGCTTTCCATCACCCCGCCCCATTCTCCCGCTTTTTATCACTCCGCCCCATTTTCGCGCTTTCCATCACCCCGCCCCATTCTCCCGCTTTCCACCACCCCGCCCCGTTCTCCCATTTTCCATCACCCCGCCCCGTTCTCCCGCTTTCCATCAGCTCGCCCCGTTCTCCCGCTTTCCATCACCCCGCCCCGTTCTCTCGCTTTCCATCACCCCGCCCCATTCTCCCCCTTTCCATCACCCCGCCCCAGTCTCCTGCTCTCAATCACCCCGCCCCATTCTCCCGTTTTCCATCAACCCTCCCCATTCTCCCTCTTTCCATCACCCCGCCCCATTCTCCCTCTTTCCATCACCCCGCCCAATTCTCCCGCTTTCCATCACCCCGCTCCATTTTCCCGCTTTCCCTCACCTCGCCCGATTCTCCCTCTTTCCATCACCCCTCCCCATTCTCCCTCTTTCCATCACCCCGCCCCATTCACCCTCTTTCCATCACCCCGCCCCATTCTCCCTCTTTCCATCACCCTGCCGCATTCCCCCTCTTTCCATCACCCTGCCCCATTCTCCCTGTTTCCATCACCCCGCCCCATTCTCCCTGTTTCCATCACCCCGCCCCATTCTCCCGCTTTCCATCACCCCGCCCCATTCTCCCTCTTTCCATCACCCCGCCCCATTCTCCCGCTTTCCATCACCCCACCCCGTTCTCCCGCTTTCCATTACCCCGCCCGGTTCTCCCGCTTTCCATCACCCCGCCCCATTCTCCCGCTTTCCATCACCCCGCCCCGTTCTCCCGCTTTCCATCACCCCGCCCCGTTCTCCCACTTTCCATCACCCCGCCCCATTCTCCATCTTTTCATCACCCCGCCCCGTTCTCCCTCTTTCCATCACCCCGCCCCATTCTCCAGCTTTCCATCACCCCGCCCCATTCTACCGCTTTCCATCACCCCGCTCCATTCTCCCGCTTTCCATCACCCCGCCCAATTCTCCCTCTTTCCATCACCCCTCTCCATTCTCCCTCTTTCCATCACCCCGCCCCATTTTAACGCTTTCCATCACCCCGCCCCATTCTCCCTCTTTCCATCACCCCACCCCATTCTCCCGCTTTCTATCACCCCGCTCCATTCTCCCTGTTTCCATCACCCCTCCCCATTCTCCCTCTTTCCATAACCCCGCCCCATTCTCCCGCTTTCCATCACCCCGCCCCATTCTCCCGCTTTCCATCACCCCACCCCATTCTCCCGCTTTCCATCACCCCGCCCCATTCTCCCGCTTTCCATCACCTCGCCACATTCTCTCGCTTTCCATCACCCCGCCCCATTCTCCCGCTTTCAATCACCCCGCCCCGTTCTCTCGCTTTCCATCACCCCACCCCGTTCTCCCGCTTTTCATCTTCCCGCTCCATTCTCCCGCTTTCTATCACCCCGCCCCATTCTCCCTCTTTCCATCACCGCGCCCTGTTCTCCGGATTTCAATCACCCCGCCCCATTCTCCCGCTTTCCATCACTCCGCCCCATTCTCCATCCTTCTATCACCCCGCCCCATATTCCCTCTTTCCATCACCCCGCCCCATTCTCCCTCTTTCCATCACCCCGCCCCATTCTCCCGCTTTCCATCACCCCGCCCCATTTTCCCTCTTTCCATCACCCCGCCCCATTCTCCCGCTTTCCATCACCCCGCCCCATTCTCCCGCTTTCCATCACCCCGCTCCATTCTCCCGCTTTCCATCACCCCTCAATATTCTCCCTCTTTCCATCACCCCTCCCCATTCTCCCACTTTCCATCACCCGCCCCATTCTCCCTCTATCCATCACCCCGCCCCATTCTACTACTTTCCATCACCCCGTCCCATTCTCCCGCTTTCCATCACCCCGCCATTCTCCCGCTTTCCATCACCCCGCCCAATTTTCCCTCTTTCCATCACCCCGCCCAATTTTCCCTCTTTCCATCACCCCGCCCCATTCTCCCCCAATCCATCACCCCGCCCCATTTTCACTCTTCCCATCACCCCGTCCCATTCTCCCGCTTTCCATCACCTCGCCCCATTCTCCCGCTTTCCATCACCCCGCTCCATTCTCCCGCTTTCCATCACCCTGCCCCATTCTCCCGCTGACCATCACCCCGCCCCATTCTCCCGCTTTCCATCACCCCGCCCCATTCTCCCGCTTTCCATCACCGCGCCCCATTCTCCCGCTTTCCATCACCCCGCCCCATTCTCCCGCTTTCCATCACCCCGCCCCATTCTCCCGCTTTCCATCACCCCGCCCCATTCTCCCTCTTTCCATCACCCCGCCCCATTCTCCCGCTTTCCATCACCCTGCCCCATTTTCACTCTTTCCATCACCTCGCTCCATTCTCCCGCTTTCCATCACCCCGGCCAATTCTCCCTCTTTCCATCACCCCTCTCCATTCTCTTTTCCATCACCCCGCCCCATTCTCCCGCTTTCCATCACCCCGCCCCATTCTCCCTCTTTCCATCACCCGGACCCATTCTCCCTCTTTCCATCACCTCGCCCCATTCTCCTGCTTTCCATCACCTCGCCCGCTTCATTCTCCCGCTTTCCAACACACTGCCCCATTCTCCCGCTTTCCATCACCCCACCCCATTCTCACTCTTTCCATCACCCCTCCCAATTCTCCCTCTTTCCATCACCCCGCCCCATTCTCCTGCTTTCTATCACCCCGCCCCATTCTCCCGCTTTCCATCATCCCGCCCCATTCTCCCGCCTTCCATAACCCCGCCCCATTCTCCATCTTTCCATCACCCTGCCCAATTCTCCCCCTTTCCATCACCCCGCCCCATTCTCCCGCCTTCCATCACCCAGCCCCATTCTCCCTCTTTCCATCACCCCGCCCCATTCTCCCGCTTTCCATCACCCCGCCCCATTTTCCCGATTTCCATCACCCCGCCCCATTCTCCCGCTTTCGATCACCCCGCCCCATTCTCTCGCTTTCCATCACCCCGGCCCATTCTCCCGCTTTCCATCACCCCGCCCCATTCTCCCACTTTCCATCACCCAGCCCCATTCTCCCTCTTTCCATCACCCGCCCCATTTTCCCGCATTTCATCACCCCGCCCCATTTTCCCTCGTTCCATCACCCCGCTCCATTCTCCCGCTTTCCATCACCCCGCCCAATTCTCCGTCTTTCCATCACCCCTCCCCATTCTCCCTCTTTCCATCACCCCGACCCATTTTCCCGCTTTCCATCACCCCGCCCCATTCTCCCTCTTTCAATCACCCCGCCCCATGCTCCCTCTTTCCATCACCCCGCCCCATTCTCCTGCTTTCCATCACCGCGCTCCATTCTCCCTCTTTCCATCACCCCGCCCCATTCTCCCGCTTTCCATCACCCCGCCCCATTCTCCCTCTTTCCATCACCCCGCTCCATTCTCCCACTTTCCATCACCCCGCCCAATTCTCCCTCTTTCCATCACCCCTCCTCATTCTTCCTCTTTCCATCACCCCGTCCCATTCTCCCGCTTTCCACCACCCCGCTTTCCATCACCCCGCCCAATTCTCCCGCTTTCCATCACCACGCCCCATTCTCCCACTTTCCATCACCCCGCCCCATTCTCTCGCTTTCGATCATCCCGCCCCATTCTCCCGCCTTTCATCACCCCGCCCCATTCTCCCGCTTTCAATCACCCTGCCCCATTCTCCCTCTTTCCATCACCCCGCCCCATTCTCCCGCTTTCCATCACCCCGCCCCATTCTCCCTCTTTTTATCAGCCCGCCCCATTCTCCCGCTTTCAATCACCCCGAACCATTCTCCCGCTTTCCATCACCCCACCCCATTCTCCCGCTTTCCCTCACCCCGCCCCTTTCTCCCGCTTTCCATCACCCTGCCCCATTCTCCCGCTTTCCATCACCCCACTCCATTCTCCCGCTTTCCATCACCCTGCCCAATTCTCCCTCTTTCCATCACCCCTCCCCATTCTCCCTCTTTCCATCACCAAGCCCCATTCTCCCGCTTTCCATCACCCCGCCCCATTCTCCCTCTTTCCATCACCCCGCCCCTTTCTTCCTCTTTCCATCACCCCGCCCCATTCTCCCTCTTTCCACCACCCCGCCCCATTCTCCCTGTTTTCATCACCCCGCCCCATTCTCCCGTTTTCCATCACCCCGCCTCATTCTCCCGCTTTCCATCACCCCGCCCCATTCTCCCTCTTTCCATCACCCCGCCCCATTCTCCCGCTTTCCATCACCCCGCCCTTTTCTCCCTCTTTCCATCACCCCGCCCCATTCTCCCTCTTTCCATCACCCCGCCCCATTCTCCCGCTTTCCATCACCCCGCCGCACTCTCCATCTTTCCATCACTCCGCCCCATTCTCTCGCCTTCCATCACCCCGCCCCATTCTCCATCCTACCATCACCCCGCCCCATTCTCCCTCTTTCCATCACCCCGCCCGATTCTCCAGCCTTCCATCACCCCGCCCCATTCTCCCTCTTTCCATCACCCCGCCCCATTCTCCCTCTTTCCATCACCCCGCCCCATTCTCCCTCTTTCCATCACCCCGCCCCATTCTCCCTCTATCCATCACCCCGCCCCATTCTCCCGCTTTCCTTCACCCCGTCCCATTTTCCCGCTTTCCATCACCCCGCCCCATTCTCTTTCTTTCCATCACCTCGCCCCATTCTCCCGCTTTCCATCACCCCGCCCCATTCTCCCGCTTTCCATCACCCCGCCCCATTCTCCTGCTTTCCATCACCCTGCCCATTCTCCCGCTTTCCATCAAACCCGCCCCATTCTCCGTCTTTCCATCACCCCGCCCCATTCTCCCGCTTTCCATCACCCCGCTCCATTCTCCCGCTTTCCATCACCTCGCCCAATTCTCCCTACTTCCATCACCCCTCCCCATTCTCCCTATTTCCATCACCTCGACCTATTCTCCCTCTTTCCATCACCCCGCCCCATTCTCCCTCTTTCCATCACCTCGCCCCATTCTCCCTCTTTCCGTCACCCCGCCACATTATCCCTCTTTCCATCACCCTGCCCTATTCTCCCTGTTTCCATCACCCTGCCCCATTCTCCCTATTTCCATCACCCCGCCCCATTCTCCCGCTTTCCATCACCCCGCCCCATTCTCCCGCTTTCCATCACCCCGCCCCATTCTCCCACTTTCCATCACCCCGTCCCGTTCTCCCGCTTCCCATCATCCCACCCCGTTCTCCCGCTTTCCATCACCCTGCCCCATTCTCCCGTTTTCCATCACCCCGCCCCGTTCTCCCTCTTTCCATCACCCCAGTCATTCTCCTGTTTTCCATCACCCCGCCCCATTCTCCCGCTTTCCATCACCCCGCCCCATTCTCCCGCTTTCCATCATCCCGCCCCATTCTCCCTCCTTCCATCACCCCGCCCCATTCTCCCGCTTTCCATCACTCCGCCCCATTCTCCCTCCTTCCATCACCCCGCCCCATTCTCCCTCCTTCCATCACCCCGCCCCATTCTCCCGCTTTCCATCACCCCGCCCCATTCTCCCGCTTCCCATAACCCCACCCCATTCTCCCGCTTTCCATCACCCCGCCACATTCTCCCACTTTCCATCACCCCGCCCCCTTCTCTCTCCTTCCATCACCCCGCCCCATTCTCCCTTCTTCCATCACCCCGCCCCATTCTCCCGCTTTCCATCAGCCCGCCCCATTCTCCCGCTTTCCATCACCCCTCCCCTTTCTCCCGCTTTCCATCTCCCCGCCCCATTCTCCCGCTTTCCATCACCCCGCCCCATTCTCCCGCTTTCCATCACCCCGCCCCATTCTTCCGCTTCCCATCATCCCGCCCGATTCCCCCGCTTTCCATCACCCCTCCCCTTTCTTCCTCCTTCCATCACCCCGCCCCATTCTCTCGCTTTCCATCACCCCGCCCCATTCTCCCACTTTCCATCACCCCACCCCATTCTCCCGCTTTCCATCACCCCGCCCCATTCTTCCTCCTTCCATCACCCCGCCCCATTCTCCCGCTTTCCATCACCCCGCCCCATTCTCCCTCCTTCCATCACCCCGCTCCATTCTTCCTCATTCCATCACCCCGCTCCATTCTCCCGCTTTCCATCACCCCGCCCTATTCTCCCGCTTCCCATAACCCCACCCCATTCTCCCGCTTTCCATCACCCCGCCACATTTTCCCACTTTCCATCACCCCGCCCCCTTCTTTCTCCTTCCATCACCCCGCCCCATTCTCCCTCCTTCCATCACCCCGCCCCATTCTCCTGCTTTCCATCAGCCTGCCCCATTCTCCCGCTGTCCATCACCCCGCCCCTTTCTCCCGCTTTCCATCACCCCGCCCCATTCTCCCGCTTTCCATCACCCGCCCCATTCTCCCGCTTGGAAAGTGAGAAGGAGGGAGAATGAGGCGGGGTGAAGGAAAGTGGGAGAATGGGTCGGGGTGATGGAAAGCGGGAGAATGGGGCGGAGTGATGAAAAGCGGGAGAATGGGGCGGGGTGATGGAAAGCGGGAGAATGGGGCGGGGTGATGGAAGGCGGGAGAATGGAGCGGGGTGATGGAAAGCGGGAGAATGGGGCGGGGTGATGGAAAGCGGGAGAATGGGGCGGGTGATGGAAAGCGGGTGAATGGGGCAGGGTGATGGAAAACGGGAGAATGGGGCGGGGTGATGGAAAGCAAAAGAATGGGGCGGGGTGATGGAAAGCGGGAGAATGGGGCGAGGTGATGGAAAGCGAGAGAATGGGGCGTGTGATGGAAAGCGGAAGAATGGGGCAGGGTGATGGAAGGAGGGAGAATGGGGCGGGATGATGGAAAGCGGGGGAATGGGGCGGGATGATGGGAAGCGGAAGAATAGGGCGGGGTGATGGAAGGAGGGAGAATGGGGCGGGATGATGGAAAGCGGGAGAATGGGGCGGGATGATGGAAAGCGGGAGAATGGGGCGGGGTGATGGAAAGCGAGAGAATGGGGCGGGGTGATGGAAATCGGGAGAATGGGGCGGGGTGATTGAAAGCGGGAGAATGGGGCGGGGTGATGGAAATCGGGAGAATGGGGCGAGGTGATTGATATCGGGAGAATGGGGCGGGGTGATTGAAAGCGGGAGAATGGGCAGGGTGATAGAAAGCGGGAGAATTTGACGGGGTGATGGAAAGCGGGAGAATGGGGTGGGGTTATGGGAAGCAGGAAAATGGGGCGGGGTGATGGAAAGCGGGAGGATGGGGCGGGGTGATGGAAGGAGGGAGAATGGGGCGGGGTGATGGAAGGAGGGAGAATGGGGTGGGGTGATGGAAAGCGGGAGAATGGGGCGGGGTGATGGAAAGCGGGAGAATGGGGCTGGGTGATGGAAAGCGGGAGAATGGGGCGGGGTGATGGAAAGCGGGAGAATGGGGCGGGGTGATGGAAGGAGGGAGAATGGGGCGGGGTGATGGAAAGCAGGAGATTGGGGCAGGGTGATGGAAAGCAGGAGAATGGGGCGGGGTGATGGAAAGCGGGAAAATGGGGCAGGGTGATAGAAAGCGGGAGAATGGGGCTGGGTGATGGAAAGCGGGAGAATGGGGCGGGGTGATGGAAAGCGGGAGAATGGGGCGGGGTGATGGAAGGAGGGAGAATGAGGCGGGGTGATAGAAGGAGGGAGAATGGGGCGGGGTGATGGAAAGTGGGAGAATGGGTCGGGGTGATGGAAAGCGGGAGAATGGGGCGGAGTGATCGAAAGCGGGAGAATGGGGCGGGGTGATGGAAAGCGGGAGAATGGGGCGGGATGATGGAAGGCGGGAGAATGGAGCGGGGTGATGGAAAGCGGGAGAAGAGGGCGGGGTGATGGAAAGCGGGAGAATGGGGCGGGTGATAGAAAGGGGGTGAATGGGGCAGGGTGATGGAAAGCGGGAGAATGGGGCGGGGTGATGGAAAGCAAAAGAGTGGGGCGGGGTGATGGAAGGAGGGAGAATGGGGCGGGGTGATGGAAGGAGGGAGAATGGGGCGGGGTGATGGAAGGAGGGAGAATGGGGCGGGGTGATGGAATGCGGGAGAATGGGGCGGGGTGATGGAAGGAGGGAGAATGGGGCGGGGTGATGGAAGGAGGGAGAATGGGGTGGGGTGATGGAAAGCGGGAGAATGGGGCGGGGTGATGGAAAGCGGGAGAATGGGGCTGGGTGATGGAAAGCGGGAGAATGGGGCGGGGTGATGGAAAGCGGGAGAATGGGGCGGGTTGATGGAAGGAGGGAGAATGGGGCGGGGTGATGGAAAGCGGGAGATAGGGGCAAGGTGATGGAAAGGGAGAATGGGGCGGGGTGATGGAAAGCGGGAAAATGGGGCAGGGTGATGGAAAGCGGGAGAATGGGGCTGGGTGATGGAAAGCGGGAGAATGGGGCGGGGTGATGGAAAGCGGGAGAATGGGGCGGGGTGATGGAAGGAGGGAGAATGAGGCGGGGTGATAGAAGGAGGGAGAATGGGGCGGGGTGATGGAAAGTGGGAGAATGGGTCGGGGTGATGGAAAGCGGGAGAATGGGGCGGAGTGATTGAAAGCGGGAGAATGGGGCGGGGTGATGGAAAGCGGGAGAATGGGGCGAGATGATGGAAGGCGGGAGAATGGAGCGGGGTGATGGAAAGCGGGAGAAGAGGGCGGGGTGATGGAAAGCGGGAGAATGGGGCGGGTGATGGAAAGCGGGTGAATGGGGCAGGGTGATGGAAAGCGGGAGAATGGGGCGGGGTGATGGAAAGCAAAAGAGTGGGGCGGGGTGATGGAAAGCGGGAGAATGGGGCGAGGTGATGGAAAGCGGGAGAATGGGGCAGGTGATGGAAAGCGGAAGAATGGGGCGGGGTGATGGAAGGAGGGAGAATGGGGAGGGGTGATGGAAAGCGGTGGAATGGGGCGGGATGATGGGAAGCAGAAGAATGGGGCGGGGAGATGGAAAGCGGGAGAAAGGGGCAGGGTGATGGAAAGCGGGAGAATGGGGCGGGGTGATGGAAAGCGGGAGAATGGGGCGGGGTGATGGAAGGAGGGAGAATGGGGCGGGATGATGGAAGGAGAGAGAAGGGGGCGAGGTGATGGATAGTGGGAAAATGTGCCGGGGTGATGGAAAGCGGGAGAATGGGGTGGGGTTATGGGAAGCGGAGAATGGGGCGGGGTGATGGAAAGCGGGAGAATGGGGCGGGGTGATGGAATGAGGGAGAATGGGGCGGGGTGATGGAAGGAGGGAGAATGGGGCGGGGTGATGGAAAGCGGGAGAATGGGGCAGGGTGATGGAAGGAGGGAGAATGGGGCGGGGTGATGGAAAGCGGGAGAATGGGGCGGCGTGATGGAAAGCGGGAGAATGGGGCGGGGTGATGGAAAGCGAGAGAATGGGGCGGGGTGATGGAAGGAGGGAGAATGGGGAGGGGTGATGGAAAGCGGGGGAATGGGGCGAGATGATGGGAAGCGGAAGAATGGGGCAGGGTGATGGAAAGCGGGAGAATGGGGCAAGGTGATGGAAAGCGGGAGAATGGGGCGGGGAGATGGAAAGCAGGAGAAAGGGGAGGGGTGATGGAAAGCGGGAGAATGGGGCGGGGTGATGGAAAGCGGGAGAATGGGGCGGGCTGATGGAAAGCGGGAGAATGGGGCGGGGTGATGGAAGGAGAGAGAAGGGGGCGGGGTGATGGAAAGTGGGAGAATGTGGCGGGGTGATGGAAAGCGGGAGAATGGGGTGGGGTTATGGGAAGCGGGAGAATGAGGCGGGGTGATGGAAAGCGGGAGATTAGGGCGGGGTGATGGAAGGAGGGAGAATGGGGCGGGGTGATGGAAGGAGGGAGAATGGGGCGGGGTGATGGAAGGAGGGATAATGGGGCAGAGTGATGGAAAGCGGGAGAATGGGGCGGGGTGATGGAAAGCGGGAGAATGGGGCGAGGTGATGGAAAGCGAGAGAATGGGGTGGGGTGATGGAAGGAGGGAGAATGGGGAGGGGTGATGGAAAGCGGGGGAATGGGGCGGGATGATGGGAAGCGGAAGAATGGGGCGGGGTGATGGAAGGAGGGAAAATGGGGGGGAATGATGGAAAGCGGGAGAATGGGGCGGGGTGATGGAAAGCGGGAGAATGGGGCGGGGTGATGGAAAGCGGGAGAATGGGGCGGGGTGATGGAAGGAGGGAGAATGGGGCGGGGTGATAGAAAGCGGGAGAATGTGGCGGGGTGATGGAAAGCGGGAGAATGGGGTGGGGTTATGGGAAGCGGGAGAATGGGGCGGGGTGATGGAAAGCGGGAGAATGGGGCGGGGTGATGGAAGGAGGGAGAATGGGGCGGGGTGATGGAAGGAGGGAGAATGGGGCGGGGTGATGGAAAGCGGGAGAATGGGGCGGGGTGATGGAAGGAGGGAGAATGGGGCGCGGAGATGGAAGGAGGGAGAATGGGGTGGGGTGATGGAAAGCGGGAGAATGGGGCGGGGTGATGGAAAGCGGGAGAATGGGGCTGGGTGATGGAAAGCAGGAGAATGGGGCGGGGTGATGGAAAGCGGGAGCATGGGGCGGGGTGATGGAAGGAGGGAGAATGGGGCGCGGTGATGGAAAGCGCGAGATTGGGGCAGGGTGATGGAAAGCGGGAGAATGGGGCGGGGTGATGGAAAGCGGGAGAATGGGGCTGGGTGATGGAAAGCGGGAGAATGGGGCGGGGTGATGGAAAGCGGGAGAATGGGGCGGGGTGATGGAAGGAGGGAGAATGAGGCAGGGTGATGGAAGGAGGGAGAATGGGGCGGGGTGATTGAAAGTGGGAGAATGGGTCGGGGTGATGGAAAGCGGGAGAATGGGGCGGAGTGATGGAAAGCGGGAGAATGGGGCGGGGTGATGGAAAGCGGGAGAATGGGGCGGGGTGATGGAAAGCGGGAGAATGGAGCGGGGTGATGGAAAGCGGGAGAATGGGGCGGGGTGATGGAAAGCGGGAGAATGGGGCGGGTGATGGAAAGCTGGTGAATGGGGCAGGGTGATGGAAAGCGGGAGAATGGGGCGGGGTGATGGAAAGCAAAAGAATGGGGCGGTGTGATGGAAAGCGGGAGAATGGGGCGAGGTGATGGAAAGCGGGAGAATGGGGCGGGTGATGGAAAGCGGAAGAATGGGGCGGGGTGATGGATAGAGGGAGAATGGGGCAGGGTGATGGAAGGAGAGAGAAGGGGGCGGGATGATGGAAAGTGGGAAAATGTGGCGGGGTGATGGAAAGCGGGAGAATGGGGTGGGGTGATGGAAGGAGGGAGAATGAGGCGGGGTGATGGAAGAAGGGAGAATGGGGCGGGGTGATGGAAAGTGGGAGAATGGGTCGAGGTGATGGAAAGCGGGAGAATGGGGCGGAGTGATGGAAAGCGGGAGAATGGGGCGGGGTGATGGAAAGCGGGAGAATGGGGCGGGGTGATGGAAAGCGGGAGAATGGGGCGGGGTGATGGAAAGCGGGAGAAAGGGGCGGGGTGATGGACAGCGGGAGAATGGGGCGGGCTGATGGAAAGCGGGAGAATGGGGCAGGGTGATGGAAGGAGGGAGAATGGGGCGGGGTGATGGAAGGAGAAAGAAGGGGGCGGGGTGATGGAAAGCGGGAGAATGGGGTGGGGTTATGGGAAGCGGGAGAATAGGGCGGGGTGATGGAAAGCGGGAGAATGGAGCGGGGTGATGGAATGAGGGAGAATGGGGCGGGGTGATGGAAGGAGGGAGAATGGGGCGGGGTGATGGAAAGCGGGAGAATGGGGCGGGGTGATCGAAAGCGGGAAGAATGGGGTGGGGTGATGGAAAGCGGGAGAATGGGGCGGGGTGATGGAAAGCGGGAGAATGGGGCGGGGTGATGGTAAGCGGGAGAATGGGGCTGGTTGATGGAAAGCGGGAGAATGGGGCGGGGTGATGGAAAGCGGGAGAATGGGGCGGGGTGATGGAAGGAGGGAGAATGGGGCGGGGTGATGGGAAGCGGGAGATTGGGGCAGGGTGATGGAAAGCGGGAGAATGGGGCGGGGTGATGGAAAGAGGAAAAATGGGGCGGGGTGATGGAAAGCGGGAGAATGGGGCTAAGTGATGGAAAGCGGGAGAATGGGGCGGGGTGATGGAAAGCGGGAGAATGGGGCGGGGTGATGGAAGGAGGGAGAATGAGGCGGGGTGATGGAAGAAGGGAGAATGGGGCGGGGTGATGGAAATTGGGAGAATGGGTCGGGGTGATGGAAAGCGGGAGAATGGGGCGGAGTGATGGAAAGCGGGAGAATGGGGCGGGGTGATGGAAAGCGGGAGAATGGGGCGGGGTGATGGAAAGCGGGAGAATGGGGCGGGGTGATGGAAAGCGGGAGAAAGGGGCGGGGTGATGGACAGCGGGAGAATGGGGCGGGCTGATGGAAAGCAGGAGAATGGGGCGGGGTGATGGAAGGAGGGAGAATGGGGCGCGGTGATGGAAGGAGAAAGAAGGGGGCGGGGTGATGGAAAGTGGGAAAATGTGGCGGGGTGATGGAAAGCGGGAGAATGGGGTGGGGTTATGGGAAGCGGGAGAATAGGGCGGGGTGATGGAAAGCGGGAGAATGGAGCGGGGTGATGGAATGAGGAAGAATGGAGCGGGGTGATGGAAGGAGGGAGAATGGGGCGGGGTGATGGAAAGCGGGAGAATGGGGCGGGGTGATGGAAGGAGGAAGAATGGGGCGGGGTGATGGAAAGCGGGAGAATGGGGTGGGGTGATGGAAAGCGGGAGAATGGGGCGGGGTGATGGAAAGCGAGAGAATGGGGCGGGGTGATGGAAGGAGGAAGAAAGGGGAGGGGTGATGGAAAGCGGGGGAATCGGGCGGGATGATGGGAAGCGGAAGAATGGGGCGGGGTGATGGAAAGCGGGAGAATGGGGCGGGGTGATGGAAAGCGGGAGAATGGGGTGGGATTATGGGAAGCGGGAGAATGGGGCGGGGTGATGGAAAGCGGGAGAATGGGGCGGGGTAATGGAATGAGGGAGAATGGGGCGGGGTGATGGAAGAAAGGAGAATGGGGCGGGGTGATGGAAAGCGGGAGAATGGGGCGGGGTGATGGAAGGAGGGAGAATTTGACGGGGTGATGGAAAGCGGGAGAATGGGGCGGCGTGATGGAAAGCGGGAGAATGGGGCGGGGTGATGGAAAGCGAGAGAATGGGGCAGGGTGATGGAAGGAGGGAGAATAGGGAGGGGTGATGGAAGGAGGGAGAATGGGGTGGGGTGATGGAAAGCGGGGGAATGGGGCGGGATGATGGGAAGCGGAAGAATGGGGCGGGGTGATGGAAAGCGGGAGAATGGGGCGGGGTGATGGAAAGCGGGAGAATGGGGCGGGGAGATGGAAGGAGGGAGAATGGGGCGGGGTGATGGAAAGCAGGAGATTGGGGCAGGGTGATGGAAAGCAGGAGAATGGGGCGGGGTGATGGAAAGCGGGAAAATGGGGCAGGGTGATAGAAAGCGGGAGAATGGGGCTGGGTGATGGAAAGCGGGAGAATGGGGCGGGGTGATGGAAAGCGGGAGAATGGGGCGGGGTGATGGAAGGAGGGAGAATGAGGCGGGTTGATAGAAGGAGGGAGAATGGGGCGGGGTGATGGAAAGTGGGAGAATGGGTCGGGGTGATGGAAAGCGGGAGAATGGGGCGGAGAGATGGAAAGCGGGAGAATGGGGCGGGGTGATGGAAAGCGGGAGAATGGGGCGGGATGATGGAAGGCGGGAGAATGGAGCGGGGTGATGGAAAGCGGGAGAAGAGGGCGGGGTGATGGAAAGCGGGAGAATGGGGCGGGTGATGGAAAGAGGGTGAATGGGGCAGGGTGATGGAAAGCGGGAGAATGGGGCGGGGTGATGGAAAGCAAAAGAGTGGGGCGGGGTGATGGAAGGAGGGAGAATGGGGCGGGGTGATGGAAGGAGGGAGAATGGGGCGGGGTGATGGAAGGAGGGAGAATGGGGCGGGGTGATGGAATGCGGGAGAATGGGGCGGGGTGATGGAAGGAGGGAGAAAGGGGCGGGGTGATGGAAGGAGGGAGAATGGGGTGGGGTGATGGAAAGCGGGAGAATGGGGCGGGGTGATGGAAAGCGGGAGAATGGGGCTGGGTGATGGAAAGCGGGAGAATGGGGCGGGGTGATGGAAAGCGGGAGAATGGGGCGGGTTGATGGAAGGAGGGAGAATGGGGCGGGGTGATGGAAAGCGGGAGATAGGGGCAGGGTGATGGAAAGGGAGAATGGGGCGGGGTGATGGAAAGCGGGAAAATGGGGCAGGGTGATGGAAAGCGGGAGAATGGGGCTGGGTGATGGAAAGCGGGAGAATGGGGCGGGGAGATGGAAAGCGGGAGAATGGGGCGGGGTGATGGAAGGAGGGAGAATGAGGCGGGGTGATAGAAGGAGGGAGAATGGGGCGGGGTGATGGAAAGTGGGAGAATGGGTCGGGGTGATGGAAAGCGGGAGAATGGGGCGGAGTGATTGAAAGCGGGAGAATGGGGCGGGGTGATGGAAAGTGGGAGAATGGGGCGAGATGATGGAAGGCGGGAGAATGGAGCGGGGTGATGGAAAGCGGGAGAAGAGGGCGGGGTGATGGAAAGCGGGAGAATGGGGCGGGTGATGGAAAGCGGGTGAATGGGGCAGGGTGATGGAAAGCGGGAGAATGGGGCGGGGTGATGGAAAGCAAAAGAGTGGGGCGGGGTGATGGAAAGCGGGAGAATGGGGCAAGGTGATGGAAAGCGGCAGAATGGGGCAGGTGATGGAAAGCGGAAGAATGGGGCGGGGTGATGGAAGGAGGGAGAATGGGGAGGGGTGATGGAAAGCGGTGGAATGGGGCGGGATGATGGGAAGCAGAAGAATGGGGCGGGGTGATGGAAAGCGGGAGAATGGGGCGAGGTGATGGAAAGCGGGAGAATGGGGCGGGGAGATGGAAAGCGGGAGAAAGGGGCGGGGTGATGGAAAGCGGGAGAATGGGGCGGGCTGATGGAAAGCGGGAGAATGGGGCGGGGTGATGGAAGGAGGGAGAATGGGGCGGGATGATGGAAGGAGAGAGAAGGGGGCGAGGTGATGGATAGTGGGAAAATGTGGCAGGGTGATGGAAAGCGGGAGAATGGGGTGGGGTTATGGGAAGCGGAGAATGGGGCGGGGTGATGGAAAGCGGGAGAATGGGGCGGGGTGATGGAATGAGGGAGAATGGGGCGGGGTGATGGAAGGAGGGAGAATGGGGCGGGGTGATGGAAAGCGGGAGAATGGGGCGGGGTGATGGAAGGAGGGAGAATGGGGCGGGGTGATGGAAAGCGGGAGAATGGGGCGGCGTGATGGAAAGCGGGAGAATGGGGCGGGGTGATGGAAAGCGAGAGAATGGGGCGGGGTGATGGAAGGAGGGAGAATGGGGAGGGGTGATGGAAAGCGGGGGAATGGGGCGAGATGATGGGAAGCGGAAGAATGGGGCAGGGTGATGGAAAGCGGGAGAATGGGGCAAGGTGATGGTAAGCGGGAGAATGGGGCGGGGAGATGGAAAGTGGGAGAAAGGGGAGGGGTGATGGAAAGCGGGAGAATGGGGCGGGGTGATGGAAAGCGGGAGAATGGGGCGGGCTGATGGAAAGCGGGAGAATGGGGCGGGGTGATGGAAGGAGAGAGAAGGGGGCGGGGTGATGGAAAGTGGGAGAATGTGGCGGGGTGATGGAAAGCGGGAGAA